CTTAACACCAGTTCTCATTGAAATGGCTAGGATGCTGACTATAAAAACCCATGACTCATCTTAATTTAAAATTAAAATTATGGCTAATAAATTTATTCTAGTTCCTGAAGAAATTTATAAAGGTTTGACAACCCAAGATACAGGGGAGCCAAACTTGGATTTTATTCGTCAAGGTCTAGAGAAAACAAAATTGAAAAGGGAGACACCTAGTGCAAAAAATGTACACTATAATCAGGAGCAGACCTGGGCGAAACTCAAAATTTTTTTCTGACGAAACGAAACGAAACAAAATTTTTTAAAAATCGTTTCGTTAACGAAACGAAACGAAACAACCAAAATCTTACGAAACGAAACGAAACAAAACGAAACATTTTAATATTCAAAAAATTTTCAAAACTGCATTTATTTCGAAATTATTCGACCTCAAATACGTTATTAGTCGACTATGACTTATAAATGATTTAGTTATTGGTTTATTTACAACAATTGTGTCCCATAAGCCAGGCCCGTAGCAAGGAAAATTTTCGGGGAAGGGGGGGGGTCAATCATTTTCGAAGCCAAATTTTTGGCGACGCTTTTTTTTAAATAAAATTGAATATTTTTCAAGTAAAATTTTATTTTAAGCGCCGCAGACGAAAAATTTTAAAATTTTGAAAGGCCGTAGGCCAAAAAATTCACCATCTTGCTCCATTGCCTACCCAAATTGTCTCCATATCTCCATTTCGAGAGGAAGGCGATATAAGCTAGTGCTTCGCCGGAAGTTCCGGTTCCAGTATTTCCGCAACTCGCAATCCGCAATTTTTAAATTATGATGCGAGTCCGGTAATAGAATTTGTCGTCGATTAAGTAATATGTATATGTGGATTAGGGAGTGGAGTATAAACGGATTTGTAGTATATAAGTAATTGCTATCTTCCTTTTTCAGCGCCGCAGGCGAAAATTTTGACAATTTGGGAAAGCCAAGAAGCCGAAATTCTTTTTTTTTCAGCGCCGCAGGCGAAAATTTTTTAAATTTTCAATAAAAGATGGTAAATTTTATAGATTTTGGCCTTAGTTTAGGCTTAAAAAATTGTTTCGTTTCGTTGAAAAATCACAGGTGTTTCGTAACGAAACGAAACGAAACAAATTTAAAAGTGTTTCGTAACGAAACGAGACGAAACAGTAAAAATCATACGAAACATACGAAACAACGAAACGAAACGAAACGTTTCGCCCACGTCTGATCAGGAGCTTAGGCGATATTTGCAATTAAGAAATGAACAACAAAATAGACCGGTTAAGGTGGAAATGGTTGCTAGTCCAAAGGGTGCAATTATGAATACTACAGCCTCCCTTCCGGCTTCAAATATTGGGGAAGACGACGATAATATATGGATGAGTGATGATATGTCCTTTAGTTCGTATCCAAAAGAGACACCATCTTATAACATTATACCACCTATCCTACCAGATATTAAGCCTGCAATTACATTAAAACCAAAAAAATCTACTACTTATTACAAACCCCCGAAAAGAAAAAGAGGTGAAGAGGAGATAGGTAGCAATAAAAGAAGACCTTTGATAGATTACGAAATCAAACCAATTAAAAAAGAAATAGGTGATGATGGTTTTGATGACTATAGAAAGAAGGAAAAGAAAAGACAATATTTAGAAAGGAAGAAGGCTATCAGAGAACAAAAAATATCCTATACCCCACAGTACCATAAAGAAGTTACATATGTTCCACCACCACCACCACCACAAGGAACAAAAAGGTTACAGTATATTAATATTGAGGAAGGTAAAAGGAAAAGGATTGATGAGTTAGAGCAGAAAAAGGAAAACCTACGAAAAATAAAAGAGGATCAAAAACTAGAAAATATTAGGAAAGGGAAAAAGGAAAGGGAATTAAAAAGAAGTGGTATAAGAAAACTAAAAATCCCCCTAGACCAATCAGCAATGTTAAAGGCTAGACAAGAGGATGACATTCGAAGGCGTCAAAAGTTAAAACGAAAGTGGCAAGGTCCAGACGAAAGCCCCTTCTTAACGCTAAAGAGAGTCAAACCCGTTACGAAAAAACAATCCGCAAGAGCAAGCAAAGAATGGATGCAGAGGCTTATAAAAGCCAAGCGCAAAGCAAGTAACAAATCATTTAAACCTTCATTGTGGTAAAAATGGGTGATTATACTAAACTTTTACAAGATTTGTACAATAATCCAGAGTCTCCAGCTGCCTTTTCAGGTGTTGATAGACTATGGAAGGAGGCTAGAAAAGTACTAAAACATATACCTAAAAACGTTGTGCAAGATTATTTAGAAGGGCACAGGACTTATACTTTAATGCGACCAAGACGTATTCATTTTAACAGAGCCTTGACAATACCCGCAGGCTTTATGACAGACGTCCAAGTAGATTTGGCTGATTTTCAAGCGATCGCAAGACATAACAAAGGGAATAAATATTTACTTTTGGGAATTGATGTTTTATCTAAGAGAATATTTGGGGTGCCTGTAAAATCAAAAACGGCAGAGAATATGGTAGACGCGTTCACTGAGTTAATAAAACAAATGCCTATGAAACCACACCGTATATTTTCGGATAAGGGAAAAGAATTTAAAAATTCTCAAATGAACGAATTTTTTCAAAATGAGGAAATTCACAAGATGGAACCAACTCACTCCACAGTAAAAGCAGCACTAGCTGAAAGGGCTATTAGACATATCAAACAACGTATTTACCGTTACTTTGCCCAAAACAAGACCTTAGATTGGATTCAAGTCCTCCCTGGAATTTTAGAAGGAATAAATAAAGCAAAAAGTAGGGTACATGGGATGAGACCAATTGATGTTAATTTTGACAATGCTCAGGAAGTATGGAAGAAGGTATATGGAGATGTTTTTTCAGATAAAAAGACAACCCCAAAACTTAAAAAAGGAGATTATGTTCGAATGAGTCTTGGAAAAGGACTGTTCGAAAAGGGTTATATTCCAAACTGGGGCGATGAAATACTCCAAGTAGAAAAGGTTAAAGGACATGTTCATCCAATTCGTTACAAAGTCCAAGATGATAAAGGTGAAAAGTTCAAAGGATCATTTTACGGAGAGGAATTAGCTCGCGTTCGTAAGGATGCTGATACTGAATATAGAATAGAAAAGGTTGTAAGAAAGAAAAAGAGACCGGATGGGACTTACGATCTTTTAGTAAAATTTATAGGTTATCCCGAAAGAGAATGGATCCATGAGACCCAACTAGTATAAAAGCTCATTTAATTGTTCATTATTTCATTTTTGATAAAAATGTCAAATACTTTCTTTGTTTTTCTTCCTAGTAATGTTTCCGATTATCCAGATAATCGACCAAATAAATTTCGCGTCCATCTGCCTAGACCTCTATATTTTTCTGGGGACTGGGTATGTGGTTTGCATAGTATAAGTTATCCATATTCATGGCCCTCAACTATTGGTACCCTTGACGAGCAATGGATTGACATCCATTTTACCAAAACCGATGGAAGGGCTAGTATTATTCGTGTACCAGTTCCCAAAGGTTCACACACCACTGTAGAAGATTTACATCAATTTTTATTATCTACTTTAGAACACCAAGTAGGAGCTATAGAAGGATCATCCTTGGAAAAGACTGAGACCCTAGTCAAACCTCCAAGTGTCCGCAGACCAAAACGTAGTGTATCCCCTGAAGGAGAACTTAAAATGCCAGCTCGTTCATCATCGGCCGAAGAGGAAGATGGAGAACTTAGAGATCAATCCCCTTCATCCTCTGCAGAAAGGGAACTAGAATCCCGTAGTTCATCTCCTAAACTTACCAAAATAATCCCGACCCCTCAACCTCCAAAACACTCACTAGAACATTCAAAACCTATTCCAGAAACTCCAAAACCCTCAGCTGATCTTCCTAAACCCACACCTCCACCTCCAAAACCAACTCTTCAACCTACCACTCCTCTGCCACCACAACCTCCAAAGCCTACAACCCCTCAACCTCCAAAACCCTTAACTGAACCTCCGAAACCCGCACCCCAACCACCAAAACCAGCTCTTCAGCCACCAGAACCAAAACCCGTTCCACAACCTACAAAGCCTACACCACCTCAACCACCAAAACCAGCTCCTCAGCCACCAGAACTAACTCTTCAAACACCAAAACCCGTTCCACAACCTCCAAAACCTACAACACCTCAACCTCCGAAACCCTCTCCTCAACCACCAAAACCGTCTCCTCAACCACAAAAACCAACTCCTCAAACATCAAAACCCGTTCCACAACCTCCAAAGCCTACAACACCCCAACCACCAAAACCCTCTCCTCAACCACCAAAACCTCAACCACCAGAACCAACTCCTCAAACATTAAAACCCGTTCCACAACCTCCAAAACCCACTCCTCAACCACCACAGCCAACTCCTCAAACACCAAAACCCACTCCACAACCTCCAAAGCCTACAACACCTCAACCTCAGAAACCCTCTCCTCAACCACCAAAACCCTCTCCTCAGCCACCAAAACCCACTCCTCAAGCACCAAAACCAACTCCTCAAACACCAAAACCCACTCCTACCATTCCTCAACCAAAGTCAATACAACCTTCTTTACCCACTTCTCTTTCACTAACACAAGATAACGAGGAAGAATCAAGAACTCCATCTCCCTCATCTGAATCTTCAACCGAACTTCCACAACTCCCAAAACCTGCGGCTACATTTAATGACCCTTTATGGACTGAAGAATATGAACGAGTACTTACACATGTACTCGCTAATCTCGGGCAGAAAATAACCCCACAAGCAAGGATAAATTATCTACCAAATATGCCCATCCTTGTAAAGAAATATGGTAAAGTAAACAAGGTAGACGCAACAACACAAAAGCAAATTATAGATTCAATAGAATTATTTTATCATAGTGACTTTGAACGATTCAAAGTCACATTCACTCACCCAAGCATAAAATATGTTTCCTTTTCCAATCAATTAGGTTATGTATTAGGCTTTCAAAATCCAAATATGGTACTAAACAATGAAATTGCCAAGTATGGTTGTGATTTAAGAGGAGGTTTCTCCAGCTTCGCTGTATATTCCAAAGGACTTACTGAAAGTATGATTATAGGGAATTCACTTAGTTCACTCCTAAGGGTTGTTTCTGTAGCAGGAGCCACCCCAGGACAATATTATGAGAAAATATATGATTCACCAATTTATGCAAGAGTATTACCAAAAGAAGTTAATGAGATTGAGATTGAACTGAGAACAATGGATAATGGTCGACCTGTACCATTTGAATTCGGTACAGTGCTCCTGGTCCTAATATTTAAGAAGGTGATAAATTTCTGATTTTCATTTACAAATTAAAAATGGTTCACATTTTATTTGATACAAGTACTGTGAGTTATGACGATTTTATTCTTCCAATGAAAGGAGGAGGAATTACTGATGACTATTTTAAAGGTGCAGCTCCCTTTCAGAGAGGTTATGGTCAAAGAGGAGCAGGCATTGGGGATATTATGAGAGGACTTTGGAGATTTTTCCTACCAATTGTGCGGCGTGTAGGAACTACTGTTTCAAAAGAGGCACTTAATACAGGTCAACGTGCATTAGGAAGGGTCATTCAAGGAGAACCTATAAAAGAAGCCCTAGTCAGTGAAGGGAAGAAGGGGATAGATACTGTGCTTGAAAAAGGAGGCTTACCTAAACAGTTTGGATCTGGAAGGGGTATAAAAAGGAAACCAATCCCCAGTCATCAAACAGTTATTAAAAGAAAACGATTAAAATCTGACGCTTTTGGTTTTTATTAAACATGAGTTTTCATAAAATTGACCGTGATAGTATAAATTCTATTACAAATGCCCTTGATTTTTTCCAAGTACCACCAACAAATGTAAGCATTTCATCATCCAAAGTTTTTGAAATTTTACCAAGTAATCCTGTTACTGATACACCCATTCATTTTAAGATTCATAGTAGTCAAAATTACATAGATCTATCAAAAGTTTACCTGTTTACTGAATTTCGCATAAAAAAGGAAAGTGAAGATGGAAAATTGGTCAAACTGGCTGCTACAGATAATGTAGCACCTATACAACTAATAGGTCAGACATTTATAAATAATATGCGAATTACTGTAAATGGAAGGGAAATTTTTAATTCAAACTCAATCTACGCCTACAAGACTTACTTTTCTCACGAACTATCTTATTCGCAAGGGGCAAAAAGTTCTCATTTGAACGCTGCAGGCTATTTCTATGACTCGGACCTGAAACTTGAGGATGGCTCAGCGTACAATACAAGAAAAAATTTATTTTCTTCAAGTAAAACTGCACAATTCATTTCGAAACTTGATGCAGATATATTCAACCAACCCCTCTACCTAATAAATCATTGCGAAATTGATGTTGAAATACTTCCAAATGACATGAAGTTTGTATTGATTGCACCTCCCGTACTTGGAGTTGACCAACCAATAACTTACAATTTTGAAATTGTAAGCTGTAAGTTGTACGTCAAAAAGGTTGATCTTATGGACGGGCTCTCTTTAGATATTGCTAAAAAACTTGAAACTAAGCCTGCAAGATATTCAATAAGAAAGACTATGATGAAACCACTTTTCATAAGCCAGGGTAGATATGAATTTAACGCAAACTTGTTCATGGACCAAATTCCCAGAAGAATTACCCTTGGTCTAGTTGCAAACTCGGATTATGTTGGATCTATGGCCAGGAGTCCTTTCAATTTCCAACATTTTAATGTTAGAGAAATTAGTATTATTGCCAACGGAAGACCATACCCCCAGGCACCCTATGACTTTGACTATAAAAATGGGAGATATGTAAGGGCATTTCATGATATGAATGAGGCTACTGGTCTGACAAACTCCTCTGAAAATAATGGAATCACTTACCAACAGTTTGGAAAGACTCACTGTATTTACGTTTTCAATTTGACAAACAGTGGGGATGATAATAGTGGGACTTTTGACCTAATAAAAAATGGTACTACAGCCATAAACATCAAATTCAGTCAACCAGTCCCAGAGGGTGGAGTCATGCTAGTTGTGATGGGCGAGGCGGACTCACTTATAATGCTAGATAAAAACCGGACAATAGCAAGCGACACTACCATTTGAATAAATGAAAGGAATTTTAGTAACTTTATTTTTAATTCGGATATTTACTCCTTGTGTTGGTCTAACTAAAGAAGCTATGGAAGAATTACAAGAGATTCCTGAGTATGCGGAGTATCTAAATAAAATGGGATACCCTAAGAAAAATACAACCCAACCAAGAATATCGGCCTCTTCACCTAACTTTGCCACCTTCCCTTTTGAGAACCTTCCTTCGCTCTGTAATGAAACCCCCAGGGATATATATGGGCATGTGTTTTGTTGGGGTCTGATTTGTCTATATATTATGTTAATAGCAAGTTTAATTATTTATCAACTTCGCTCAATTTTTTGGCTAAAAACTTATAAAAATAATGTACAACACCCAGATAACAACAATATTGAGGTCAAACCCACAAACCAGCCACCTATTCCAAGGATGCTTCCCGTGTAACAATTTACCCCACCCTATGGAAGGAAAAGTATTAGTTGTAAACTTGGACCCCCAAGGATATCAAGGTTCCCACTGGGTTTCAGTTTACGTACAAACGAGTGAACAAGTTGTCTACTTTGATAGTTTAAATTTACCCACAAGCATATGCATTATTGATTCATATTTAAAAAATTTTTCTGTTGTTGTTAGGAATTTGAGAGCATACCAGTCTCTCACTTCTGATTGTTGTGCTCACCATTGTATTTCTTTTATTTATTTTCTTTCGAAAGGCTATACTTTCACCCAATATCTTAAAATGTTAGACAAGGTTAATGACCCTGATATATTTGTGCAAAACATTGTAAATAAAATGATTAATTAGTTTTTGTCCTGGGACGAGTATAAATAGTCGTCGAATTCATTCATTCAAACATTTATAATGTCTGAGGAGAATTCTCGCAAACCTGTGTATTTTGTCTTTGATTTATGCGAGGATTGTGTTACAAAGAATTGTCGTGTGACCGACATGTGTGTATAAAAGGACAGAATTTTTACCAAAACATTCATTCTTTCAAAATGGTTCTTGTTATCGAGGAAATTGCTCGCTTTTTAGAATGCTCCGTCCGTAGCCTAGCCGGACATTTAGATAATCCTCAAACAAGAGTTTGTGTACTAACAAAATTTTTGGATCGTAAAGTCCGCACAACTTACTTAAACAAGGACTTTGAAAGAAAGACCTTTCGATTTGGAGGTCTTACACAAAAAGGCGCAAATAGAATTCGCGCCTATGGACGCCTACGACGTCCCTATAATGTTAGCATAGCACAGCATTTTTACACTAGACATCGTATACAGCTTAAGAACCCGTACCTAAATTGCGTAATCGAACACCGACCTTGGGCTAAGGATCGTTTTTACCCTATTGAACTACTAGAATTTGTTGATGATGAGATAGAGAAACTCCCAAGCTTGTCTTCGGAATTTTCAGAGAAGGCAAAATTTTCTCCTCCAGATAGTCCTGAAATATTCAAGGACAAAGAATTTGAAGACGAGATGGAAATTTATAGAGGAGACCTTAGCCAGGATGAATGGTAAAACACGCGCACCCTCGACACATGCGCGCACATAAAACACGCACACCCATATACACGCGTGTCACTGAAAATTGATGAAAATTGACAAATTTTATCTTCTTTTCCTTAATTTTGTAATTTTACCCCTAAAATGAACATCTCCTTTTATTAAATTCTGAAATCTGCTACTTTGACACACTAATTATGTAATTTTACCCCTAAAAACTATGTCTTCGTTCTCATAATTTTTTAATATTTTTAAAATTGTATCTTTGTTTTCTTAACTATGCAATTTCACACCTAAAACTTGTGACTCCTATTGAATAATTTTTACAAAATTGTATCTTTAAAAATTTTATCATGAATAAAATTAATACAATAATAATGTGTAAATTATTTATAAAATAACAAGAAAAAAATTTATTGAAAAAAAGTAGACTAATAATGTAATAGATAGGAGTATGGCTTCGCCATTTGACAGGCATGCCCAAACTCAACCAGGGAAATGAGAATTTATACTCAAGTCCGCGACTACCGATTTCCAATGTGAGGATTACCTCACAACATTCGATAGTTGGTATAGAGTTGGGTGCCCGTACCCCTGGCTACTTTCCAACCCCTATAATTACAATAAAATTCTAGGATGGCGATTATTTATGTGCCCAAAATTTAATACAACAAAATCGGAAGGGCGGACAATGCCCTTACCGACATAAGGTTTGTAGATTTTTGTAAGGGGTTGGGTAATAAGTGAACCATCTTTAATAGATGGCCTAAGAAAATTTGGATGTTTAATTAAAATTGGAATATTATCAGATTTTGTATAATCAAAAACTTGTTTCTTAAAATTTTCATAGCAGAGACCTTGGTTGTTGATGACATCCCAGTTGAGTGTCATTCCGCGGACTTTGAGAACATAGTCCGGTTCAGTGTTGGGTGAAGACTTCTTTTGGAGCTTCAGTCCATATTGTTTGGCGCCCCCAGAACAGTATTCCAAAATATTAAAGTCTGGGTACTCGTCAGTAAATTGACCCAGATGGGGCCCTAATTCAAGTGGGCAGTTGTTGTCTGGGTGGGAGAAGATTAATGAATCGGTGTCAGTGTAAAGGAGTTGACACCCAGGCGTCCTGACAACCTTCTGCATAGCATGTAGAAGGTGGATTCTCGCTGCTGAGGTGGTCCAGAGCGAAATGATGACGTTTGATGAGTCATGCTCCTCCACCCAGTCTTTTTTCTTAATGTAGTTGATAAGTATTACATTCTCTGTGAGCTCATCAATTGAATTTATCGTAATAGACGGGTCATCGCACATTTTAGCAAGTTCATTTGGGTCGTCTGTAATTTTGCACTGAGAAAGTCCAAAATTACGAAGTGAAAATCGACCCCACAAGTTGTTTAGACACAATTTTGCTTGTGTCCTCTTACCCTTATTGGCTGCCATCTTTTCCCTCTCAATCTTAATTCCAAACATTTCGAAACATTCCTTCATAAACTTATCCTCCTTCTCCTTGTCACCCTTTATGGCATTGTCAAAACCTGATGAATGAATTTTTTGGCCCATAAATTCACTAATGTAGGGTCTGAAAAGTGTGTCGTCATATTGTTTAAATTCTAACACCCTAAATAATTTGGTGACCACATACCCCTCCTTGAGGGCCTCGTTTAGCTCAATGGAGGTACAAGTGCTAACCCACCCTCTTTGTTGGTCTGTGTGAGGGCAGCAGTAGTTTTCCTTCACATCACCATGTGGGTGTTCTTTGGCACAAGTAGAGCATAGCGGGAAGAGGAGTCTTTCATCTTCATCTTCCCCAATTTTCATAGGTAGGACGGGGATATCAATATTTCTGGGTGGAATGATGAACAATTTAAGAAGAGCAAGATTGTATTTGTTGTCTTCAGGCTTAGTCCAGTTGACATCTTTGTTGATGACGTGGACTTCAGGATGTCCAACTGGGTACCTTGTTGAGACATTAATAAACGGGTAGAGGGAAGTTACGTCGTAGTAAGAAATTTTCTGCCCCGTCTCAGCCTTGTGGAAGAGTTTGAGAGGACCAGTTCTTCCACCATAAAATGCTGACCTAATATTGATTGGTCCATCATCCAGATAGTTTTTGAACATCTTCCTCATTTCGTAATCTTTTGAAACCATATTACGTATTTCACACTCCCAATATACTTCCACTTTCACTCCCAAATTCTTGATAAAATTTATACGCTGGTTGTCTTTTTGTCTCTGTTGCCCAGCTGTTAGACCTGTTGGGAGTTTTATATCATCTTCTGGGTAGCACTTAATACATCCGTGCCAGCAGCATCCGTTGACTTCAATAGCCTGTTTCTTTTCCTTGACCCATCCATCTAATTTATATTTACCCATCTTTTTCTCTCCATTTTCTGAGTGGGCTGTCCTAATATTGACCATATTCTTTTCAGAGTACCACTTGAGGAATCGGAGGGCCAGCAAACTTTGGTTGTCCACATTGTCGTATCCCTTTTCCGGTACAATCCCAACGTGTTGCGCCTTGAGGTGGTTCATCCGGAAATGCTTCATGCATGCTGAAGCTATAGTCATGGACTCCCGCAAAACATCAAGTCCATTGGAAACCTCCAGAAATTCTTTTCTGAAGGCAATGAGTGCAGCCATTAAAATGTCCACATCGTTTGTACAATAGGCTGCTAGTTGTTCTTCTAAATTGAAAGGCTCGTTTTTGTGTTGTTCGAACCATTTATCGAACTGAGCCCTCTTTTCAGGCATCATCCCATTAGCTAAGTACTCTTCCTTAGTCGGGAAGATTTCCTTCCCATAATTTTTTGGGTTGTTGGCGAGGTGAGGGAAGAAAGGTTTGTCTTCCACTTTAAGGGCAAATGCCGGTACCAGAGAAGCCAAGGGCATAGGCATTAAATTATATGTGTCGTGGAAGATGACCCAACATTTCTTATCATTTTTCACCTTCATTTCATACATTTTATTCCCATTCTTAATCATATCTGGAGTCAGACCCTGGAGATATAGTGCTTTGAAGACCAGGACCATGTCAAACCTTCCTCCAAAATGAGAGAAGGCTACTGTGTCTGTAGAGAAATTGGTGATCCAAGTCACAAAATCGGTCAGGGGATCATTTGTAATATTTTGCTGATCCACTGATGTATTAGAGAAGGGTTGATGGGAGAAGGTTATAGTTCGGTCTTCTCCACAAACATTACAATTGTTGTTCATTCCTTTATTAATACACTCGGGGCAATTGATTTTTGCTGAAATAAAATTCACCTCATGAAGTTTCCCCTTTTCGCCTTGCTTATGCTGCATTGTTTCGAAGTCAAAGGCGATAATCCTGTAGGGCTTAGGTTTCCTGGGAGTTAGAGGTTTGATGAAGCAACCTCTTTTTGGATCGTGGAAACTGAAGCAAGTGGTGCAGTAGCGTTCTGAACAAACATGTCCACTTCGACCGTTCCGGTTGTTTAGAGTTACATTCCAAATAACCCCACATTTTTCACATTTCTTAGAATTGTTGCAAAAGTTAGATTTGAGATGATAGGTGTAGCACTCTTCATTATTAAATTCCTTATCACAACTAGAGCAATGTTTGGAGTAGTTGTCTGATTGTTGGCATGGGTAGTTGGGACCAATCCTGGAGCAGTTTTGACACTTTGCTTTGCAGGAAGCTGAGTGATCGCTTTGACGATGATAGATCTTTTCACACGATAGGCAATAAGCTTCCCCAAATAAATCACTTGCCCTTCTAACCCCATCAAAATGATTATTGTTGTAATAAAGTAAAATAGGGGTATTGTAATTTTCAGTCCCATATTTGAAAACAGGTTTTTCATTAAATTCCCCAAAAATAAAAACTTTAAACAGGCCTTCGTTCCTTGAATTCCAAAAATCAACCACTTTAGGCACCCATTCCTTTGCATCGTAGGTTGATTGATCAAGAGGTGCTCCCACATTTGCCACAAGAATCTTAGTGTCCTGTTCGAGTCGACGATTACCTTTTCTGTTGTGTATGTAGTCATAAAATTTACTTCTCGACCAGGAACATATTGAATAGACATATGAGGCCATTAGTGCATAGAATAGGCATAAGTTATCGGAATTACGAATTTTGATGAGATTTTTGTCGTTGATCCGACGAGTAGATTTGCCACCGCTACCTTGAATAGAACGTGTTGTAGGTAAATGGTTCTTATCGATGGTGGTAACGGAGACGGTGAAGGGTATTTACACCCTCTATTTATTTTTTGAAGCAAGTTTAAAATTTTTGAGAAACAAAAGAAATTGCGTAATTTTCGGGAGAGGGCGAAAAGAGAGAGA